GAAGAAAACTAGGGGAAGGGGGATTGAGTGATGTAGGTGTTGTAAAAATCTAAAAAAAAAAAAAAAAAAAAAAAGATTGGCATCAAACAAAAGCATTTTTAGGAGCAATTTTCTCACCCAGACAGTACAGAATTCCCTAATGTCAAACTTGCTTCTAAAGTGATTTATACAGAGCTTGCTAAATCATTAGCAAATTCTTGTGCAAACTATAACAATAAACATCTGAAGAGGTGTATTGAATGGAGAGGAGTACACATGCCCTCTTGTATACATGACTGCCAAGCTTGATTTTGATCCACTTCTGCTGCCACAACTTTTCTGCTGCCAGTGTATTTGTACTGTCACATGTCACAGGGCTTATGCTTGGTTTATGGCTTTATTATTAGCAATGCTGCACAGTCTGTATGCCAGAACATCTGGGACATCATGTAGATGCAGAGTGTTCGTCAGAGTTTAGCATTAGAAGGATCCTAGATATTTAAGTAGGATTTGAGCTGGTTATCCAGCAGTGGCAAGAAAAGTATTCAACCTTACTGTTGCTGATATTGGCAGAGACATTTATGGTAATGTCTGTAACTAAATAGAGTACTCCACACTAATGCTGAAAACTTCATAATCCATCAAGAGACAAAAGAACTTCTTTATATATTTTTATATCCTCTGCTGCATTCCAGTTGATTATGTCAATGCTATTGTTATGTGCCATTATCTTCTCTGCTATAATTATCATTCATTTTTTTGGTCATATACTAAAATGCTGCTCGCCTATTCTCTTCTGAATTCAACAATTCAATGTTACACTAGTCTTCATATATAGTGATAAAGTATCTGCTCCTAACTTGGTTGTGTTTTGCCTGAGAAATCTTTTTAAGATGCCTTGCAATTAAAATGAGTTATATTTCAATCTTGTATAAATATATAATGATCCTCACTTCAAACAGTTGCACTGAATTTTTGTCCATCCTTTGTCCATACAGGCAGAGGATAAAAGTGAATAGTGAAGGTATCAAGGGGGGAAGGAAAATGCACTTTACAGAATCAGAGAATGGGGAAGGTTGAAAAGGACCACAGTGGGTCATCTGAGGCAATCTCCCTGCTCCCATTGCACAGAATTGTGTCTAGATGGTTCTTGAATATCTCCAGTGAGGGAGACTCCACAACCTCTCTGACCAGTCTGCTCCAGTGCTTTGGTCACCTGCACAGTAAAGAAGTTCTTCCTCATCTTTAGGTGGAACTTCCTGTGCATCAGTTTCTGCCCCTCTTGTCCTGCTGCTTGGCACCACCGAGAAGAGCCTGGCTCCATCCTCTTGATGCCCTCCCTTCAAATACTTCACAGAATATGACAAGTTGGAAGGGACCCACAAGGATTGTCAAATCCAACCCTTAGCCCTGCACGGGGCCATTCCCAAGAATCACACCACGTGCCTGAGTGCATTGTCCAAATGCTTCTTGAACTCTGTCAGCCTTGGTGCTGTGAACACTTCCCTGGGGAGCCTGTTCCAGTGCCCAACCACCCTCTCGGTGAAAAACCTTTTTCTAATATCACCTCAAACCTCCCCTACAACTCATGCCATCCCTTGGTCCTTCCAGTCACACTGAGAAGAGAATCATGTCTCCCTCCCTTCCCCTCAAAAGGAAGTTACAGACTGCAATGAGGTCTCCCCTCAGTCTCCTCTTCTCCAGGCTGAACAGACCAAGTGACTTCAGCTGCTCCTCATATGGCTTCCCCTCGAGGCCCCTCTCCATCTTCATTGCCTTCCTTTGGGCACTCTCTAATAGCTTAATATCTTTCTGATATTGTGGTGCCCAAAACTGCAGACAATATTCAAGGTGAGGCCACCCCAGTGCAGAGCAGAGCAGGACAATCCCCTCCCTCGACTGTCTGATGATGCTTTGCCTGATGCCCCCCAGGACACAGTTGGCCCTCCTGGCTGCCACAGCACTGCTGACTCACATTCAACTTACCATCGACCACGACCCCCAGGTCCCTTTCCATGGAACTGCTTTCCAGCCTCTCATTCCCCAGTATGAACAAACATCCAGGTTTGCCCCGTCCCTGGTGCAAAATCCGGCACTTCCCCTCGTTGAACCTCATGTGGCTGGCGATTGCCCAGTTCTCTTAATTTGTTGAGGTCTCTCTGCAGGGCCTCCCCGCCTTTGAGGGAGTCAACGGCTCCTCACAGTTTTGTGTCATCTGCAAACTTGCTTAGTATCCTTTCCAGTCCTGAGTCCAAGTAATTTATGAAGGTGTTCAAGAGCAGAGGGCCTAAGATGGAGCCCTGTGGAACCCCACTAGTGACAAGTCACCAGTCTGATGTTCCCCCATTTACTATTACCCTCTGTGCTTGACCTGTCAGCCAGTTGCTCACCCACCACAATGTGTTTATCCAACTGTGTGCTGGACATTTTATTCAGTTTGGCTCTAAGGTTATCATGGATGACAGTTTCAAAAGCCCTGCTGAAGTCAAGGTAGAAAATATGCACTGCTTTCCCCTCATCCACCCAGGTAGTTGTTTCATTGTAGAAGGCAACCAGTTGGTGAAGCAGGATTTACCTTTAGTGAATCCATGCTGACTACTCCTGATCACCTTGTTAGAGGGTTTGATGTGAGGCTGACTGGCTGGCAGTTCCTTGGGTCTTCCTTATTGCCTTTTTTTTTGAAGACCAGGGTGACATTTGCTTTCTTCCAGTCCTTAGACACCTCTCCTGATCCCCATGACCTTTTGAAGATGATTGTGAGCAGCCTAGCCATGGTTTCCACCAGCTCCCTCAGCACTAGTGGAAGCATCCTGACAGGGCCCATGGACTTCTGGATAACAAGTCTGCCTAGGTCTTCTCTAACCCAGTCCTCCTTGACCAAGGGCAAGTCTTCCTTCCAACATGCATTTACCCTGGTCTCCTGGGTCAGAGATTATGTGCAAAAAACCCCATAAAAATGGAATTTCCCTTCTTTTCCTGTGTCTCTTAACATTTCTTACTGAAGAGTTTTGCTCATGTAGTGACGTCATAGTCTGGAAAAGCACATTTTATTTTCAAAACAGATTTAGTAATTTGTGAATGCATTCAGACTGTAAACAGTGCCTATACTGCCTTATTTCAAGTAGTATCCTATACTGGAGTAATTCTTACTTAGCTCAGATACATATTGGCTTTTACAGATAATACCCAAGACTTTTGTAAAAGAAAAAAACTTAGCCAAATAATTTTGCTGAGAAGGAATATTTTCTGGGTTTTGTAGTACATAATACAGAAGTAGAAGAGAGATTATTTGCAGTATGGCAATGACATTATACTTTGGTGGAGGAAATCAGTAACATGATTAGTTTCAGAAACTTTGCCATTGAGGATTTACCTTCTGCTTTATATGCTGCATTTTTATGTATTTGTATTTTTTTCCTCAAACAAACTAGGATAGTTATTTTTACTTCAGCTTTGCTTTTTTGTGGTTTGCGTGTTTCTTTGTTTTTAACAATTTGTGAGAATGAGTCACACAGAAAAGTGTGTATCTGTGTGTGAAAGGGTTGTGTGTGTACATAAATGCAAGGTGAAAGTTAAAACATCTATTTGAATTGGTTTAGATTAGGAAGAAATTATTCACTGTGAGGGTAGTGAGGCACTGGAACAGGTAGTTGCCTGGAGAAGTTGCAGATACCACATCCCTGGAAGGGTTCATGGACAGATTGGGTGGGGCTCTGAGCACCCTGATCTAGTGAAAGGTATCCCTGCCTATGGTAGGGGGATTGGAACTACATGATCCCTTCCAATCCAAGCCATTCTGTGATTGGGTTCTGAGCTGGGAATCGTTCAAAGTGGATGCATTTGCTCAGATTACCTGGTAAGAGATGAACGTGATGAGAAGGTACTTTTTTCCCTCCTACACTTCTTTCTCCATCACACCTCTTTTGGAGAGAAAAATGAACAAAATACATAAGGAGTCAATTCTGAGTTACTTAGGTAGGAAGAGACCTAACTTCCAAATTTTTTCCGACATATTTAGATCACACATGGCTGCTGAGGTCAATGGTACCACTTGCATGAGGAAAATCTATGCAGGCATTTCCCAAACTATTATTTGTGATGGGAATAGCAAGACGAGGAGATGGAGTAGAAACAATGCTCTGTAGTAAAAATGGAAATAGCAAAAAACTTGGAAACAGAAGTCTAAGTTTTGCCTCTTCTTTTTTTGAATTATTTTCAAAATGGATCATAAATCTTTTTTTTGAGATTCGAGGAAACGGAAAGTATTTGTTTCAGTTTTCCTAGATCTCAGTGATGGTAAACAAGGACTTAATTAGAAGACCCACAGTGTATTTGTAGAGATACAGTTTGCTGTAAGAGGGCAAGAAAACAGTTTTATTTTTAAGACTTACCTGACTTCAGTAGGTAAACCTGTTATATCGAAGTTATTTGAAAAAAAAAGTCTGTTTCAAGATATCTCTTTACTTTCTGGCAATCTGAAATAGTGTACTAGCGCGTACTTGCACCTTGTCAGTTTGAATAATATTTTCAAATTATCTGGCTTTAGTGTGAGGGTAGCTGGTTCTGCTTCATGAGTGTATGTTGCAGGTGGAAAGACTTGCACATTCTCTTCTTCTTTCCCTTGTTTTCCCTCCACGCGTACTTTTTTCCACTACAGAGTATGGGCATGTGTTGATCAAATCACAAGAGGTTCAGATTATAATTGGTTGTTTAGGGCAGTCCTAGCACATAGGTTGTCTGGTTTTTTTGATGGGCAGATCCTGATAAAGATCAGTCCAAGGACAGGTGAGTAGTAGGAAGATGAACATGGAGCAGGAGGGGAAAATGGAATGTGAAAAAGCACAAAATGGCTCTGCCTCAATAGTTATGTACTTGGACATGAAGCATGTTGAAATGTCTTGAAAGATACCAAGGTAGCTCCTTGCCAGTGGCAAGTTACTCAATGTAATGAAGCAGTAATTTCAGTGTAAATAAAGTACAGCTGCTGACAATTTTTTTTTCCTTTTTTTTTTCTTCTGCAGATATTCCTGAAATACCAGAAAGCATCTCATTCTGCAGAGCACTACAGGTAGCAGATTTCAGTGGGAATCCCCTGACTAGGTAACTTCCACCTTCTTCTTAGTACTTGACATACCAGAATTGCAATTTTACTGTAACAATTACAATTTTAAATAAGTCCTTAAAAATTGTGATCTATGCTGTCTATGTAATCTTCCCAACACTGCTTGTCTCTGGCAAGGACCACAGCAAAAGTTTAGATGTAAAAAGTGATATGCATCTTTCCTGGGAGGAGATGAAATTTGTTAGTCAACCAGGAAAAATGTAAATCTGATTGTCTATAAAGTAATTTTCATTCCTTTTCTTATATGCATAGGAATACCATGCTCATACTTGGGAGAGATAAAGCAATGGTTAGTGCAAATGCATTGGCACAAACCCAGGTGTCTGACGATTTGGAATAGACTGTAGATCAGCTGCTGCAGATAATGGCTTTTACTAATGATTAAAGCTTGGACTAGCATTTCATCACTCTCCCATCAATTGGAACACAGTGACATGCAGTAACATGAGGCAGAAATGACTGTGTGTGTCAGTGGCTGCTGTGTCTGCTGCCAGGCTGTGTTCTGATGAGCTGAGGTTTGGGGGTTATGTCCACTTTTAGTACAGAAGAGTTTTGTTTCTCTGCTCAATTTGCTGCAGAATTTGGAATTTATCTAGTGAAGTGAGGGTGGAGATGGCAAGGAAGAGAGGATCTGCTAGTTAAAGCTTTTACATACTATTAGGAGAACTATTTCTTAAGCCAGCCATTGCCACAGAACTTTGTGATGCTGAGCAAGTCACATAAGCCAGAGCGTTCATAGTGGGTGCTCACTGACCTGCTTTGCTTTGCACTGAGATGGTTAGGAATACTTGCAGGGTTAGCTGGCTGGCTGGTCTGCCGGAGTGCTGAGAAACAGGAGTGTGTGTGTAATAGCTTTAGCTGCTCCAGTGGTTTCGCAAGATGGCTTCTTCCACGTGTGCAGCTTAGATTCTTCAGAAGTGCGCTTTGAATATCACCCGTAGTGCTTCCTAAGTTCTCTGGAAAGTCACATCTCTGGGCATTAAAGGGACACTTGTGATCTTAATCCCTGTGGCTCTGTAGCCTATTTATACAGTGAGGATAATAATACCACAAAAATCCGGCAAAGCAAACTGACGCTGAACTGATGTTTGGATATGCAAGTGGTGAGGGTCATTGAACAGCTTTTTTCCAGGCATCAGTGTGCAGCGTATAAAGCTCAGAGCTGCATCTTGGGGTATTGAAATCAAAACTGTCTGTAGTAGCGTTCTAGTTATTTTTCTTCATTTTTTGTGCTCAGTAAGGCCTGAGGCCTAAGTAATGTGTTTCCTCAAATAGTACTTGTAATGCACAGCTACAGCTTCGTGGAATTCACAAGAGAGTTTTTCAATGGTGTTGAAATAGATCTCCTACCTCTTTGTAGACAATTTAAGGGAATTTTAAAAATTCATGATGACGTGGCTCCAAAGTGTATGTGTGTCCTGGAAAACATCACTCCAAGCAGTTTGCTAAGTTAGAAAGCACAGACACCAGAAGCTGTTCATGTACGGTTGCCGGGTATTTCTGTCATGAGATCCAGAATTTCAGTTTTACCTGTATAACAACAGCATGTAAGTTTGGCACTGATTTGCCCAGGCAGAGTGGAAAAGTCTAGTAGTTATTTCCTTTTCTGTGTAATATTCTGGAACTTTTTTAAGCCATTAATTCTTGTCCTTATTTCCTCTAAGCTTAAAAGCCAGTCGGAGATCTTCCTGATCAATGTCCTACCACTATTGCAGTGTATGTTGCCTCACTGTCAAACTTAAATGATTGATGAAACTGGAGCATTAATACTGGCTGGTGGGCCATTTTCCCAGCTGTCTTCAGATGATTTCAGGTTTATATTGATTAAAAGCAGGTGCATTTATTACAGTTTAGACTGGAAGTCCACTGCATGCTGCAGATAGAATATAATAGTTCTAATTGGAAGGGACCTATTGTCATCATTGAGTCCAGCTGTCAACTTCAGGGCTGAGCAAAAGATAATCAAACCATTTAACTCCACTCTTAAACCTGCTAGAGTCTAAGTGATAGTGAATTGTTCCAGTGAAGCTCACATTTTGAAGATGTTGAGCACGTTCTGTTAATAAGGTTCAGATAATGATTAGCAGTGTAGTACAGAGTTGAGCACATGAACAACCTTCCCCCCTCCATCCCCAATTTAATTTGCCTTTTTCCTTCTCCCCATCCCATTGAGCACAGTTATATTTGCCTGTAGGTGTGTGTCTCCCTTTGGCTAGTTGCCTGCAGGTCATATCATGTGCCTTGAGCTGAGTGATGGGGAGAGCAGGAACCAAACCAAATTCTACAGCTTGAGCTTAGGTGGCGTGCTCTGGGAGTCAAGCACAAGCTGGGTGGCTGGGCCAGGGGCTTCTTCTCCTTTACCTCATTGGCCCTATTACCCCGTCCTGTCTCCTGTGCAACTGCAAACTGAGCTGCTTGGTGCCACTGGGCTGCCAGTGAGTAGTACAGGAATCCATCAGTGTGAAGGGAAGGGGGAGCCAAGCCTTGCAGGAGACCGACTGAGTGACAGACCTAAAGGCTTTGGTAACTTTGGGAGTGTTTTGCCTATGACTGCATTTTATAGTGTAAGAAGGGAGGGATTACATGCTGTTGTGTTGTGAACCAGTAAATGTGGAATGCTGTAACAAAGAACATTGTCTTCATAGTGAACAGACTGTTTCTTCAAAAAGCAGCAATTGAAGAGCAGCTTAGTATCTAATACAGAATGGCCATACTATAAGCATGTATGTAACTGAAGCCTGAATAAAAATAAATTTTAATTATTTTACCATTTGGTGATACAAGAAAATAATAGTAAAAAAGTTTTGGTTTTTTAATGTTTTTCTTTTTAATTTTTGTGAAAATGCTTAAAATGTTCATAGTGCGTAACTACAGCTTTTTGAAGTTCCAAATTGGGGACAGGGAAGAGGGGGGCTGGGAGACAAGTATATTACCTATTCTTTGACACAGAATAAACTTAAAAGTCAGTAAATCATGGGGGTTTTTCTTATTATGATCCTTAGAATTCTCTGAGAGTCATGCTGGAGTCTGGGAACGTCTCCCTCTGTGTGTATTTGCTAAATAAACTCTTGTTCACATGAATGAGAATACTTCTGCTGGAAGTCCTTGATTTGAATTAATATCTCCATAGGTTGCCTGAAAGCTTTCCTGAATTGCAGAATCTAACGTGTCTTTCAGTAAATGACATCTCTCTGCAAGCACTACCTGAAAACATTGGAAAGTAAGTTTTTTATACTATATTACTCTCTTAATTTATTTTCTCGTTATTGTTATGCTTATTGTATAAATGACTTGCATAATTGTATGTAATACTCCTATAAAATTATTTACAGGTCTATCCTTATTTTTTCTATTCTTTCAAGTCTGAGGGATCTGTTTAAAGAAATCCCTTGGCATTTTCACTTGACATTAGCAGGCTAATGCAGAATCTTCAGCATGTGAAGATATGTGTATGGTTCAACTACTTTCTCTGTGATTTAGAGTAACTTGGAATTTTAGGTGCAAAATTAATTAGGTGTTTTGTGATGTCAATCTGACCTTTTGCTTTCCTACGTTGTAGTAGATCATTGATCCATTATTGTGAGCATGTCAGATGGCTTGCAGCTTAGCTCAAAACCAGGCAATTGTTGGCACAAGAACAGATGGGTAAAAGCTGGCAGAGATCAGGATGGAAATTAGAAGGTTCATAACTAACTATGGGAGCAGTCTGGTTCTGAAAAAAACTCCAGTGGGAGCTGTGGAGATGAAAGGAACAGCTCTTAAAGGTGAAATTTTATAAGCTTTTAAGATGTGTTTGTTAACTCTGGAAAGTAGAGCAGAGTTGCAACAACAGACTTCCAAAGTGGAGACATGTGGAAAGTGAACAGTGTTTATCTGTCTCCTTTTGTCTGAAATGAACATTCATACTTTCAGAAGGGAAGTCTCTGTCCTGTTAGTGGGGAGAAGGGTATCTTTTCCAGTTTGAAGGAGAAGAGGTAATTCCATGTTGCCTCAGTTGAATACATGAGAATGACTCTGCTAGTTCATCTCAAAGGCTCATCTACCCCAGCTTCCTTCTACAGTTACAGTAAGTAGATGCCTAGTGAGAATTAAAAAGTGTGTATTTGATGATTTCTCTTTGCATCCTCTGACTGTTTCTGGTTCAGAGGACTTCCTGAACTTTAGAGTTTTGGTTTATCTAATTGATAGCCCATAATGAATCTCTCTTCAACGTACTTGTCCAGTTTCTCCTTGAGGATGCGTAGACATCTTTAGTGTTCTCCCCTGGCAAATAGCTGCACAGGTCTATTACCCTTTGCATTGATTTGTTGTTGGTTCAGTCAATTCCAGCTGTTTCTAAACAGGAGTCCTCTTGAAAGGATTTTAATAATAAGAGCCCCTGCAATGTAGTCAAGTTCAGACGAGCATTACTTTAGCCACTTCTCATGGGTATGAAAGCTGTCAGCTGGAACCATTCCAGCAGCAAGAGAAGCAGAAAATGTCCTTTGAAACCTTCTGCAAGCACTAACCCGTAGAGTTAATGTGCATCCAGTGACTAGGGGAAAGTCTTACCTAAAAATTGCATGGGCCAAGGTTTTTGTGACATTCTTCCTGTTCTGTAAAAGTCCACAAAACTTTTCATGCAGCTTTTCCAGCACTGGCAGCTAAAACCAGGCCTGTTCAGACTTTGCAGTTGCTGAAAACCAAGGTCAAAAATTTGGGATCCTGCCTGATTCTGAAAATAAATATAAGAAACATGACAAGCTGAAATGATTGCCAAAGCATGCGGTGGACTGCTGCTTTGCAGACAGTAGCTAGGAAGGTTGCTGGCTTCCTTGAGAGCTCACTGGCTGTGGTGGCTGTGGCTTCTTGCTTGTCCTGCCTGTCATTTGGTAGTGTGAGTGGTGATAGACTCTGTTCTGGAGCAAATGACTGGAAACGACTTTGGTTAAAATGGGGATACCAGAGGTTTGTAGAGATGTCAGTATATGGAGCTGTGCAAGAAAAAAAAGTAAAAATTTGCCTCATACTGGTCCTAAGCAGTTCATGGAAATGCTGTCATACTATTTCAGCCCTGTGTGAGCTGTTGCAGAACAGAGCAGTGTAAACCCTCCTCCCTCAAGGTCACTATTTGATTCCCAATATTGAAGCTAAAAATCTGGGGTTCTCACTTGCATCAGGAAGACCCATGTGCTCATCCTGGTGGTCTTGGAGATTTCTTCTGAGAGATAGACATTTATTCAAGTCTGACAGGCCTGCTTTGATCCGGGAAGTGTTCCCACATTTGCCGTCTAGAATATGAATAGTGTATTTTTACAAAAACACATTTTAATCTCATTAGTAGAAGTTTTTATTATCAAGTTTATGCTTAAAGAAGCAGAGACAAATGTGTGGGACTCTTGTTTTTTTCTCATCAGGTATTCCTAGTAGGTGGGAATCTGGCAGTTGGAGAGTCAACAGTAAGCTTGGACTAAGGATGGATGCTTTTGAACTCAGAAGAATGTTAATGTAGCATGAGGGAAACTCATGGGGTATCCACCCAAAATGTAACTGTTCTTGAAGTGTGTTGAGGAATGTCTTGGCAACAGACAGAAAGAGATCCTGTCTGGTTCCAACTGGAAATTATTGGGAGGTCGTCTTTGTAGCGACCTAGCAACCTGAAGTCCTTATAGATTGCTTCTGAGAGGGAATTTTACTGGATTTTTAGCATTAGATACTTAGGTTAGAGATTTGTTTTTTTTCAGTCTGGCTACCAACAAGTGCAACTTTCCTTTTTTAGTTTACAAAATTTTCATCATTTATTGCAAGTAAATTTGATGGTGCAGCCAACCAACCTGCGTTTGGTAAAAGTAGTGAAATGCTCTGTGGCTTCTCCAAAGGTTGCATACTTGTACTCTGTTTCCTCCTTTGTTCTACTGGGACCCAAAAAGTAGTGGGATTAGAAAGTAATGCTAATTGTGTTTTTCTGGCTGAGCAGACTAAGTAAAGCTCTTAAAAGTGTTTGGATATGTTTGCAAATGCCTTACTGGAGTTTCAGTGTCCTTTGGATAATAATGCATGGTGTTATTTGATGGAATAGGCTGGACCTGTGTGCGCTCTGTGTGAGATCTGTCAAATAGTGAGCAAACAAAAAAAACATACTGGTGTTTTATTCTACTCTAGTTGGGCATGTTTGGGGAAAAATTTGAAGTCCATGTGCTTTTTGCAGGTCTTCTAATGACTAGAGCATGTGGAAACTTGGGGAAATGCATCCTAATTTCTTACAGTCTTATGGTGCTTTCTAGAAAGCTGCCTAATACAGCCAGTGAAATCTCATTCATCTTCGTGTAGTACCGTGATCAGTATATATTTAGGGCCTTTTTTTGTTTCTTTTTTTTAGCTACCTACTTAAAATCTTGTGGCAATGCAAATTTGCCTTACTGTCTTAATGGGGAAAGCAGCAAAAGCATTGGCAAATACTTTACAAACAGTAGTAATGTAAATTTTAGTAAGGAAGTTCTTCCTAATGGCAGATAATAGACTTGAATTGCCTTGTGGTGAGCCATTAGTGGAAGTGTGTCTTCCTTGTGAATTCGGATATTCAATCCGTTTTTCCCATGGTCTGATGTATAAGGTGAGTGAGTGCCAGAGTTCAGCTTCACTGTCCCAGGCCAGCAGCTGAGCTTGTTCAAACCATTGATATGTAGAGTTCCATTAATATTTTTACTGTGCCATTAAGAATTCTTCTGCACAGACCTTTTATATTTTTCTTTTCCTTTGTGTTGCTAAAAGGAGTATTTTTAAGGGTCACAACTGGATGTTTGAAGAACATAGGCAGGGCCTTCTTTGAACATTTTGCCTTTCCTCGTGCTTATTCGTAGCCGTGCTCAGAGTATGTCAGATTTTCTTAGTCTGTGTGACCACTTCAGTCGGCTTATCCAATGCTGGTACATGTGCTGACAGTTTTTCCCTGCTGGATGTAGCCTTCCTCTTTTAAGCTCATGTATTGTTTCAGGGCTTGCTAAAAATATGTGTGATACACTACTTTAGGACTGGATAAAAGACTAGATATCTTAATGTTACCAGTGCTCCTTTTTGTGTTTCTTTGTGATTTGTGTTCTCCTAACTTGTAGTTTGGTTGCTCTCTGGAGTAAAACAGTGAGTGTTAATACATCTGAGATACTTAAGCTAATAATTAGGTGGGTGCAGCTTGGAGCAGTACTTGTCCTGTTGGGTAGTTGAACTATTTGGAGAAACAAGTTACGCCATTTAAGCTGTGAGTAGGAGTGTCTTTTACAGCATTTCTCAGTCTAATGAGAGCAAGTGTAATTTCCTTGCCTATTCTGCAGGACTGTGTGTGTCTGTAGAGCTGCCCAACAAGCAGGCATAACCTGTTCCTCCCAGCATTGGTAACATTTAGGAATTTCCACTTACTTCTTGGGTTTCTCTTCAATACTTACTTATTTGTGTAGCACCCAAAGCACAAGGCATGACTGTCTGAAATTCAAAAATCAGAGTATTTGTATGTAAGGGTATTTGAGTAAATCGAGGCTTCCTAGGGCATGCCTTACAGTAGTAGCATAAATAATCTAATGTCTGTCTGTCCCTAGCACCTTCTTTGTCCATATGTGTTCATTCTCTAATGTTGGCTTCAGCTCACTGTGACATTGGCTTTTTACCAGCAAAGATTTGTGATTTTAGAGAGCCATATAGTGCTGCTTTTCAAGTTATTTTACAGATGGCACATTATTATTTATTTGTGGTTCTTAGACTTGAATGAGATCCAGTTACCTTCTTTGGAAAGCCTTTTATGTATGTCTCTGATGTTTAATCTAGCGTTGGACTCTCAGAAGGGTGCTTCACGAGGAATTGTCCTTAGCTGAAAAACCAGTCCTTTCAGCATGAAATGCATGTTTGAAAAAGACAGTTATCTGTCAAATTCTGTGGGGACAGCAAAATCAACAAGTTTCTTAAATGGCTGAAGCAACGGCCAGAGCTTCACTACTGTGCTTTAAATTACAATTTAAGAGCTGCTGTCCATCAGCACACCAGACATCTAACTGATACCCAGTTTTTAGCTTTCACAATTTTTTCAGCAGTCTTGTCTGTGCATGGAAAAGATAAAGATTGCCAGATTACTTTTATTTCTTTTGGATGCTAAACTTTAAATTATGAGATTATTCATGACTGGCAGGAAGGGTATTTTGAAAGTTCCCTACGTGGTAAATAAAAAAAGCTTTCCTCCGCCATACACAGTCTTTA